CAGATGGTCATCAGGAGCCATGATGCCTTAGGAGATAGAGAATCTAACAAATGTGGTATCAGATACTTTGCATCAAACAATCAACAGTATATCATGTACCTAAGTAAGTAGGTGTTAGTTGTTCAGTCCTGTCTTTGTGACCCCATGAACTTTAGCCTGCCAGGCTCCTCTGTCCATGGGATTTTCCAGACAATAGTACTGGGGTGGGTTGCTGTCCCCTTCTCCAGGGAATCTTGCTGATCCAGGGGTCAAACCCAGGGTCCCTGCAGTAAGAATGCTGAGTCCTAACCCCTAGACTGCCAGGGAATGCCTCGAAAGTGATTGGTTTTGTAGAACTCAAAAGTGTTTATATCCTTAGGTTGGTTATTTTAAGTTTACAGTGTTCATCTTTTATCTCACTTGGGGGTGAAGTCATTACCTTTATATAGTGACATTACCATGTGATTTTATTGAATTCACAGAGACAGGATTCCAAATTAGAGATATAGAAATTAACAATATCTTAAAGATGTCAGCAGATGAAATATATGAAAATGAACCTGACAATGAATAAGATATTTACTGCTGTTCTATATAACTGGATACATGTAACTATAAAATATATTAAAAGGAAAATAAAATTGGATTGTTATATATAGGTTGCCATTTTCTTTATTAAAATAAATTGCTGTGGTAACAGTGAAACTGTGTTTACCTGGAAGTCTTAAGAGAATGAATCATTTTGAACAGAATTGCATGATAGGTAATTTCCAAACACATGGTCAGTTTTTCCCTGCAGTTTAAATTTTGCCCTAGGCCGGCGGTCGATGCCGGGATGAGCGGGTCCCTGGGCCGGGAGGCGGCGGTGGCAGCGGCTCATCGGAGCACCTGCACGCGTTGGTGAAGGAGGACAAGGTGCTGGTCTTCTTCAAGGGGACGCCGGGGCAGCCCCGGTGCGGCTTCAGCAGCGCCGTGCTGCAGATCCTGCGGCTTACGCGCTGGACGACCCCCAGCTCCGGCAAGCCATCACCCTCGTGGCCCAGCTCTGAACAGAATCATCAGATGGCTGCCCTGTCCCCAGGAGGCATTAAAGACTGCTCCAACTGGCCGACCATCCCGCAAGTGTACCTTAATGGCGAGTTCACGGGGGCTGTGACATTCTGCAGATGCACCAGAACGGGGACCTGGTGGAAGGACTGAAAAAGCTGGGGATCCGCTCTGCCCTCTTAGATGAAACGAAAGACCAGGACTTGAAGTGAGGGAAGGTGGCCCCGGGCGAGGAGCCGCTGGTGTCGGAGTCCTACCGCCAGAGAAGCCTTACCCATTCGGGTTCCCGCTGTTCAGACGACCGCTTGGGCTGGTTCCTCCAGTTTGTAAACAGCCAAGTGATTTTAGCGTGTCTGGTGTTTGGGCAAGGAAGATCCTGTCGTCAACATAATCGCAACCACTGTACCGTCATAATCAATGTCGCATTACTAGATTGTTGTAAACAAAGTTCCTTCTTGTGTTGTCCTTTGCCCTTTGCCTGATTCAGGAGTAAACCTGGGAGCTTTTGAATCATTGTTATTCTTCACAGGTCCTCCACAAATACGTCAGTCAGTCTGCAAAGATAATATAACCCCCGCCTCCCCCAGTTCTTCATAACTTGTTCTGTTAAGAAAAATGGACAAGGAAGAAAATAAGATAACCAGGTTTGGGGGGTTTTTTAAAAAAATAAACTGCCAACCCAAGGATAAAATAAATAAATAAATAAATTTTGCCTTAAAATGTATTTCATACTTTCTCACCTTCTTATTTATAACAAATTGAAAATAATTTCAGTTTTTCTTTTTAATTCAGGTCATTATAAGCATCATTTATTATGCTGTGGAAATTGTAGGATTGTTTGTCCTTTTGTGAAAAAACCATAAAGTGCTCTGAGGTCTAGTGGATGCATTATGTCATGTTTAATCTATTAATACCTCTCTGTAATTTGTCACTTTTTTGCTCTTGAGCTTATAGCAGCCACTTCTAAATGCTAAAGGTTTTGAAGGGATATTACCACTCCTTCTTAAATTGTATATAAAATCGGAGTGTACAGGCTCCACGTATTGACTCATATTGGGCCTGGTTGATAGAGGCTTAATATAACTTTTTTTAGTTGAATGGATGTTGTAGCATTTACAAAGTTGTAATCTTTCTTAATCTAAGGAGGAGAGATATTCAAAAGGAGAGAAATTCAAGCTGATTGGCATTTGCCAAAGATAGTTAGCATAATGTCTTAAAATGCAAGAACTTGAAGGTACCTCAGTAAGAATATGTGTCAGGCTATAAATCTTCTGTAATCAACCCTAATCTGGCAGAGATCCACGCCATTTGCTGCCACATCAAAAAGAGAAGCACAGCTGCCAAGCTGTCAGTGGATTCCCTTCTGCTAATAATTTTATCTTTGTACCTTCTCTAGCTACCGTATCTTTGTTGCACTCAGTGCTTCAAGGAAATGAAATGTTCACAGTTGAATGTTGGTCAAACCCATTCTATTCAAATACGATAAAGCCCTGGTTCTCTTGTGTCTTTTTAATCTAAAGCTAAAATTATACTGTATTCATCTGTCTTCTTCTTTCATTCTGCTTGTAGTTCTCCAAATTATCAGATAAATAGACTGGTTCGGTGTTTTGGAATGGGATTGCCACACTCCCACATTCGTTCTCCCACCCCCGATTTTTTTTTTTTTCTAAAAACCTCATTTAGATACACTTGTAGAGAGGTATGTTAAATCAGTACCTGTCGAGGTCTGGATAGTTCCAAAGTAAAGACTTCCTTTGACCTCCTATTAAAGCTCTGTTGATTCTGACCACTGCCTATCGCTTTTACATTTTCTCCTGTAAAAATTTTGGTGTGCTGTAATATATTACAAATAATATATTACATTGTTGTATAAGAGATTGATGAACTTTGGAGTTAGATCAGGTCATATTCAATATAGTCGCTTTCCCTGCCCTTCTGGCATTTGACTGTTGAATATGTAAGAGAAGCAAAAACTTCCACCCCTCATTGAGAAACACCTAGCGTTTTGCTTGTAGGCCTTTGCTAGGTTTCATTGTTTGATACAGATTAACAGCTCAAGTGGTCAAGTATAGGCCTTGCTATTATATTTTTAGTGCCTTTTAAATTCAGAGTACAGTTTTAATGTAAATTCCAATATAGTAGGAAAGCCAAGGGAAGCAGTGAAGGGATTTAGTTATAAAAGACCCTGGGAGATGATAATTATCCATAACTACATAATTGTGATTATATAGTTCAGATAATTGCTATGAAAATATGAGTGGAAGTTACTCCAGACTAGCATCTCTTTTTCTTCTGACATCTCTGAGACGGTAGAATGAAGAAAGGTGGATGAATTTTATATGCAGTCACCTAGCATCACCCAGTACTATTGTGCATGTTACTAAAGCAACCATTGGACTTATTCCATGTTATTTTTGTTCCTTCTTATTATTTATTTGTTGGCCATACTTCGCGGTTTGTAGGATCTTAATTCCCCAATCAGGGATTGCACCTGTGCCCCCGGCAGTGAAAGCACTGATTCCTAACCACTGGACCACCAGAGAATTCTCATTCCCTCTCTTTGATTTTTTTTTTAATAGGCTTGCATTTACCAAAGGCTATCTTTTGCTCTTAAAAAACTAGTTCTAAAATTAATTAATTGAGCTGCTGTCAAGTTCTTAGAGATTACACGAATGTAGTTTCTTCTCAAAGTAGAACTTCTGAAGAGCTAGTACATAATTTGACAATCTAACCCTAAGGGATACCAGGAACTTCATTTATCTCTTAGGTTCCAAGGCCACTGTCTTAGATTTTCCTGAAATTCAACAAGCCCCATGTGTATATGTGTTGTTTTTTCCCTGTTATAAACATATATAGACAATTGAAAAATATACAAGTGTAAAAAGTAAAAGATATAAATGTACCTTTCTTTTTAATCCTACTTCCCAAAAGTAAACCAGCTTAGTTTTTGGCATATCAGACATGTATACATCTAAATCTATAAAAATGTAGTTTCTTTAAAAAAAAAAGTACATATTCTCTATCACTGTTTTAGTCAATTATACATTGTGAATGTCTTTCCATGAGAGTAGATCTAATTTTTCTGTATCCCATTCCATTGGACAATTGATTTCCCTGTTCCCTCACTGATGGACTTAGGTTTGTTTTTGTTGTTTGGTTAGTTTTTTTGTTTGTTTGTTTTCAGTTAAAGGTAATATAGTGAACATCTTTGTATGTATCTTTGCCCACTTGATGGACAGGGAGGCCTGGCGTGCTGCAATTCATGGGGTCCCAAAGAGTCGGACACGACTGAGCGACTGAACTGAACTGATAGTTTCCTAGTTTATATTCCTAAATCAAGGGTATATAATTTTTAAGTTTTGATACATGTTGTCAAATGAGCCTCCAAATAATAAGTTTATAAGCCTGCTGCCAGCATATAAGGATTCATTCTTCCTACATCTTCAACAACATAGTTGCTTGTTTATGATTCAGAAACTTGAATTGTAAACTGTAAGTCCTAAGTTTATTTTACATAATCTCTGATTTATGGCTTTCACAAATAGCCTATAAGAATAGATGCTTTTCGTATTTTTCCTTTTATTCCTGCCATACTTGTTTAGATATAGAATGTGTTATCAAGACAAGGCAATCTCTTTTTTGTTATTATAGGTATAACATATATTTTAAGGAATTTATCAGTCATTTCCAAATACTTCTCTTCTTGAATATTTCTTATATTATTAGTCAAGTCAGGATATTAATTTCAAAACCTTGCTCTTTTGAGTTGGAGTTCAAGGGACAGCTACTGAACCTCTCATTCTCTTTGCTGAAATTTACACATGATCACTTTTGAAATACCCCTTAAATTTACTGAGCACCTCACACTGACTGTAATGGTGATTGAACAATAATTCAAGGCATATTAGAGAAAACTTTATTAATCCAAACAAATTTTAATGAAATCTGAGTTTTATCTGTTTGCTTGCTTGCAGGTGGATTCACCTATGAACTTGAAGCATCCCCATGACTTAGTCATATTAATGAGACAAGAAACAACAGTTAACTACCTCAAAGAACTGGAGGTGAGACAATTGGGCAAGCGATATGCAGCTGATACTTGGTGCATTTCACAGGCGCTACTGTGGTCAGAGAAGAATTAAAATGTATTGTTTCTTAATTCTTCTGACTTTTACAGGAATATTCTATTTTTAGATCATGCTTTTTTTTTTTTTTTAAATCAGAATGCCATTTGAGCACTAGTAAGAGAAATAGACTACTGGAACCTTGGTTTTATGCCTCATTCTTGACTCATATATCCTTGAACAGTATTTCCATGTATAAATATTTCCATCAAATATGAAGAGGAATTATCTCAAGATAATCTTGGAAGGAGAGTTTGGGTAAAATATCAAAAGAAGAGTGGTTTGAATACCTCATAAAAATATAATTTTGTTAGTTTTCAGATAGTAAAAACTAGGACCTCAGTGGTTTGTGTTCTTATGATTGAGGTGAAAAGCATTCGTCACTTTGCATCTTGAAAACTCTTCCTTCATTTTTATTTTATATTGAAGTATATTTGATTAACAATATTGGGTTAGTTTCAAGTGTACAGCAAAGTGATCCAGTTATACATATACATGTATTTATTCTTTTTCAGATTCTTTTCCACACTTTGAAAATCTGATATTTATTAGCACTAATAATACCTGACCTTTTGGTTTCTATCACTGATTTTCATAAACTGATTTTCTTAGTAGCAGATAGTGTTAACTGTTTGAAAAATAGTTTCTTTTTCTTTCATAAAACTTCCTCTTAAAAGTTACAGTGTAAATGGAATTCAAATTTTAATGAAACTTTTTTAAGTTGTAGAAAAAGTAACCCATTTTGCAAAATGAGATTTAGAAAATTATTGGGAATAGTAAGAGTAGAATCAGAGTCTTAGAAAGCTAGAAGGAATCATAAAGATCATCCTCATTTCAGAGGTAAGGAAATAATTAGACCTAAAGACTGTGAGTTACCTGATTTTATGAAACAAGTTACAGCAGAACCAGAGGCAGACGGTTTATCTCCTAGCTGTTTCCGATGAAACCAGGTAGCCATTTATCTTCTAGATATATAAAAGTTCCAAACTTCACTTATATAAATTTAAACTAGTACATCTATTAACAGTAATAGTTATATGTTTTTTAAACTTCTGTCAATTAAGAAGGAAGAACTTTTAGCACATATTAATCAATTAGTGTAGGTAGTAAACTTTTAGGAATACTTATAAAACTTGAGCACTTCACCATTTTATTTATTTATTTATTTATTTATTTTTTCACCATTTTAAAACTAGTGTCTCACCTTGTTCTTACCAGTTTTGTCACTTATAAATTTGGAAATGTTGATTTTTATGAATACTAAGAAAGACAGTAGACATAATTTATAGGGCTACATGCTTGCAAGCTTAAAACACATTGTTCAGAAAGATGCAGTGGTGCAGAAAATAGTTTTTAAGAATCATAGACAACATTATATATGTTTATGATTATCCATCTTTTAAGTGGCAGTATTATTTAATATAAAGAGAAAGAGACTTCGAGTATGTGTAATGGGAAGATGCCATTTACCAAGTCATTGTAAATGCAAATGAAAAATAATGACTCCACCAATATTTGGTTAAGGTAGTGTAATGAGGTTATACATAGTACTTAGTTTCTGCTTCATATGCACAATGACAGTTAAAAGATAAAATAGAAATAAAAGTAAAATGTAGTCAGGTCTGAACACAACATAAACAATCTCCGTAGACTTGAAATGGAATAGAAAACACCAAGTTGAGAATGTAGCTAAAACTATAAACCTGCTGGTCTCCAAAACCAGGAATAGGTTCTGCTGTCTGATGTTCATTTCATCTCTGTGGAGTAAAGGGAACAATAGTGTTCTGTGCAAGATAAAGGAAGATAACCAGATTTACTACTGCTGGAAGACTGGGATGGAGCATGAAAAGAGTCTGGTGGGAAGAATTTTAAAAAGGCAGGAAGACAAAACAAAACCTAATGACCAAAAAATGAACCAAACCATCTAGTGGTTCAGTAATTGCATCATCAGTTTCCTGAACACCATTTCAGGGCTAAGTATCACTTTGGGTTAGAAACTCTAAAATTATATGATCTGGTTTTGGACGTTGGATCTAGATAGAACCTGGAAGCAGCTACAAAACTGTTAGACCCAGGAGGTGGTCATGGAGTGGCTGGGAAGAGACAGAGATGGAGATGGGGTGAAGGAGGATTCCAGGATTTTTGACCCAAGCAATTGATGTTGGATAGTTGGCTTTAGCTGAGATGAGAAGACTGAAGGAGGGACAGACTGGGGAGGAGGTTGGTATATTAAGAAGATACCTATTAGGAATCTGAGTGGAGACATTGAGTGAAGAGTTGGGTTCTTCTGGTGTGGACTCCTGGGTAAAGGCTTGAGCTAGAGATTTGAGTTTATTTGTCCTTCTTAATCACTGACATAGGATTAAGTCCATGAGACTAGATAATACAGTTTATCTATAAAGTAGTGACAACTAGGTGTACTTAGATGCCAGAATCAATACCAGAAGACAATAGCATCAAAGTGTTAAGTACAGAATTTATATTCTTTTTTTAAATTCTTTTAAATATAATATTTTATATTCTCTTAAACCATCATTCAGAAGTGAGGACAAAGCAATTTTCTGACATACACAGTTTACTAACCACAGACCTTCACTGTACTGACCAATGTAGATAAATCTCAAAAGCATTAAGTTTCAAAAAAGAAAGTTGTAAAATAATCTCACAATTTGTATAGAAATACAAAAAACCTTCAATAGCCAAATCAATCTTGAGAAAGAAGAATGGAACTGGAAGAATCAACCTGCCTGACTTCAGGCTCTACTACAAAGCCACAGTCATCAAGACAGTATGGTACTGGCACAAAGACAGAAATATAGATCAATGCCTCAAAATAGAAAGCCCAGAGATAAATCCATGTACCTACGGACACCTTATCTTCGACAAAGGAGGCAAGAATCCACAAGGGAAAAAAGACAACCTCTTTAACAGCTGGTGCTGGGAAAACTGGTCAACCACTTGTAAAAGAATGAAACTAGAACACTTTCTAACACCATACACAAAAATAAACCCAAAATGGATTCAAGATCTAAATGTAAGACCAGAAACTATAAAACTCCTAGAGGAGAACATAGGCAAAACACTCTCCGACACAAATCACAGCAAGATCCTCTATGACCCACCTCCCAGGATATTGGAAATAAAAGCAAAAATAAACAAATGGGACCTAATGAAACTTAAAAGCTTTTGCACAACAAAGGAAACTATAAGCAAGGTGAAAAGACAGCCTTCAGAATGGGAGAAAATAATAGCAAATGAAGAAACAGACAAAGGATTAATCTCAAAAATATACAAGCAACTCCTCCAGCTCAATTCCAGAAAAATAAATGACCCAATCAAAAAATGGGCCAAAGATCTAAACAGACATTTCTCCAAAAAAGACATACAGATGGCTAACAAACACATGGAAATTTACTCAACATCACTCATTATCAGAGAAATGCAAATCAAAACCTCAATGAGGTACCATTACACACCAGTCAGGATGGCTGCTATCCAAAAGTCTACAAACAATAAATGCTGGAGAGGGTGTGGAGAAAAGGGAACCCTCTTACACTGTTGGTGGGAATGCAAACTAGTACAGCCGCTATGGAGAACAGTGTGGAGATTCCTTAAAAAACTGGAAATATAACTGCCATATGACCCAGCAATCCCACTTCTGGGCATACACACTGAGGAAACCATATCTGAAAGAGACACGTGCACCCCAATGTTCATCACAGCACTGTTTATAATAGCCAGGACATGGAAGCAACCTAGATGCCCATCAGCAGACGAATGGATGAGGAAGCGGTGGTACACATACACTATGGAATATTACTCAGCCATTAAAAAAATTCATTTGAATCAGTTCTAATGAGGTGGATGTAACTGGAGCCCATTATACAGAGTGAAGCCAGAAAGATAAAAACCAATACAGTATACTAACACATATATATGGAGTTTAAAAAGATGGTAATGATAACCCTATATGCAAAACAGAAAAAGAGACACAGATGTACAGAACAGACTTTTGGACTCTGTGGGAGATGGTGAAGGTGGGATGATCTGAGAGAATAGCATTGAAGCAAGTATACTATCAAGGGTGAAACAGATCACCAGCCCAGGTTGGATGCGTGAGACAAGTGCTCAGGGCTGGTGCACTGGGAAGACCCAGAGGGATGGGATGGGAGGGAGGTGGGAGAGGGGACTGGGATGAGGAATACATGTAAATCCATGGCTGATTCATGTCAATGTATGGCAAAAACCACTACAATATTGTAAAGTAATTAGCCTCCAACTAATAAAAATAAATGGGGGGGAAAAAAAGAGAGAGAAAAACAAATAAATAAATAAAAATAAAAAATAGAAAAGAAAGTTGTAGAATATACCATATGATACTATTTATATAAAATTTTAAAACTTGCAAAACAGTGCTATGTGTTGATTTTAGATATAGTAATATTTAAGAGAATATGGGCAGTATAGTAATATTTTATAAAAATATACATGAAAATGATGTATAAAACATTCAGGATAGTGGTAACTTCTGTTTGCTTGCTTATTTATTTATAATATTTATTTTTTTCTCTTGGTCATGCCATGTGGCTTGTAGGATCTTAGTTTTCCAACCAGAGATTGAACTTGGGCTCTTGACAGTGAGAGTGCCAAGTCCTAACCACGGGATTCCCAGGGTAGTGGTAACTTTTGAAAGGGAGAGAGAGGTTTCAAAGACAGGTAAGAGGGGCTTCAACTATTTTTTTTCCTTCTAGAAAAATCTAGAGTATGGCAAAATGTTAAGATTGAGTAGTGGAAATATAGCTGTTATGTGATTCCTCTGTACATTTGGGAAAAAAATATGAGTGGCAGAAATTTCTCTCGAATCTAGTGATTCCAGCTAGCACTATCAATGTGCTGGTTGTGTTGAAGGACTGAAATATGACATGTTTGGACAGTTCAAGGTAGTTTTAATTGCTGAGCCATCCTGTGCCAAGAAAGTTGTTAAATATAGCTTTATAGATAGTTAGAGATCATTTTATAAGGCACTCATGTGCCAGTATTATACATGTCATGTTCTGTTACTTTCTGTATATGGACACTTGTTTTGAGAAGCTTATTCATGTCAACTAAGGTAACCGAGGGCATATTTAGAATTCTCTGACTTGGTCAACACATTAAATTCTCCTTTCTCTTACATGGTATGTAGATTGAAATATTAGAAAAATCCAACAAGTTCTTATTTTCTTCTCAACAGAAGCAATTAGTTGCTCAAAAAATTCACATAGAAGAGAATGAGGACAGAGATACAGGACTGGAACAGAGACATAATAAAGAGGATCCAGACTGCATCAAAGCCAAGGTGCCCTTAGGGGACCTAGACCTATATGATGGCACATACATAACTTTGGAGAGCAAAGATATCAGGTAAAAAAAATTCTCTTTCCAAAAATAAAAGTACTTCTTCCTGAACAGACATGTCTCAATTCGAAATTATTTTTCTAATTAGCAAAAGCTTCAATAACTGATGACTTTATTGAAATCTGAAAGTTCAAAATATATACTATGTATAGAATTCTTACAAATCAATTATTTACCATCACAGTAGAAAATTGAACAGTTTATGGTAAAAAGTACAAATGGCCCATAAATACGTGGAAAAAATTATTTCTCGGTAACGATCAAGTAAGTGCATGCTAAAACATATTTTTCATCAAATTGGAAAAAAATATTTAAAAATCAGTAACGTAAAATGTGGGAAGACTGTATACAAAAGTGTAAATTGGTTTAACATTTCTAGAAAGAGTTTTGCAGTGTCTTATTAGCTGAAAAGTCTGAAGTCTTTAACAGTCTGTGACTTACCTGTTATTTTCTCTTTAACTCTTGATTTATCTCCTTTAAGTTGAACTCTCAAACTAATTTATTCCAGCAGCAACTATATGAAAAGGTATGCATGTTGACTAATACTGATTGTAAAGTGAGATGCTTTGAGAATATGATTTAATTAGAGAAAAATTTGGCATTTCTTCACTTTTCATTCATTCGTTACTCCTTGCCTCTTGATTTTAGCCCTGAAGATTATATAGACACAGAATCTCCTGTCCCTCCAGATCCTGAGCAACCTGATTGTACTAAAATTTTAGAACTTCCATATAGTATACACGCTTTTCAGCACTTGCGCGTAAGTAAAGAAATTTGGGGGGGAGCCTCGTTTTCATTTTTTCCTTTTATCTCTTGTTTAGGCATGCTCTTTTTTTCTTTCTTCTCTCCTTCCAAATAGCTTTTTGTTTTAACAGACATCTCCTACTTTTAAAGTTCCTTCAGAATAAATACTCTTAAGATACCGAATTGTAATCTTTTATGTCTTCTATCTCCTTTTACTTTTTTTCAATCTTTTCTTCTTCTCTTCAGGGTGTACAAGAGAGAGTTAATCTTTCTGCACCTCTACTACCTAAAGAAGATCCAATCTTCACATATTTATCTAAACGATTAGGAAGGAGTATAGATGACATAGGTCACCTCATTCATGAAGGCCTGCAGAAGGTAAGTCATCAGTGACTAAAGAGCCCAGAGACTGTGAACAGAAGATACTTTTCTCTCAGAAAATACCTCCCTAGCTTGTTTTTGTCTAGAGAGTGATTTTAAATCCTGATTACAGTAGTATAAACCATATAGTTTAAAGTTAGGCAGAAGCATCGACAATCTAGTCCCCTTTACCAGGGTGAGATGCTGAAAAGTTTTGTTTGGACTAATTCTTGAAAAAACAAATTATAAACTAATATAAGCAACTGGGCTTATAGGCTAGATTATATATTTTGAGTGTGAAGGAAAATTTAACATTAGCATTTTTGATATATAACTATACACAGTAAATACATAGATTATCACTGTTCTCTGAACAGGAAAAAAATCACCACAAATAAAATCTTCTTGTAATTTTCTTTTAAAGAAACACCTACTTTAAAAGAAAATGGAATGCAGGATTATATAACAGTACCCAAAAATTTAAATGTATCATTGAGGATAACATGTGGGAATTTAGAAATAGTTTTTGCTCTTCTCTGTGCCTAAGGAGATTCATAAAATCCAGGCTATTTTCTATGCAGTGGTATTAAGTAAAGTGTGTAGTTGTAATATTTATATACAGTTTACTCAAATATATATATTTTTATATTGTTACCCAAATATATGTTTATTCAAATACTTTATATAAGATTATTTTTGTAGCTAAGTTACCTTCTTCATCTTGTTTTTCTGAAGGTAATATAAAATACCGCATCCCCAGAATTGATGAATAATAAGGGAAAACTGGCCTAGGATTTAAAATATCCTTCAGAGAATTGTTAGTTGAAAGTAGATCATAGTGGTAAGTGCTCTATAAAAAATTAAAATAGAGGGTTTATTGGGTGGCTACTTTAGATTAAGCAGGTGGGGTTATCCTCTCTGGAAATACGAAATTTAAGCTGATACTTGAATGACAAGAAGAAACCAAAAGTCATAAATCGAGGAAGAAGCATTCTAGGCTGAGGCAAGAGCCCTGAAGCCTTACTTAGCTTGACAGTGCATCCGTCAGCTCAGGCCGCCGCCACAGAGTACCGCAGACTGGGTGGCTTCAGCAGCTGAACTCTCAGTTCTGGAGGCTGGAAAGCCCAGGATCATGCTGCTGGCTGATTCAGTCCCCGCTGAGGACTCCCTTCCTGGCCTGTAGATGGCCTCTTTCTGGCTGTGTCGTCACGTGGCTTCGCTGTGTGTACATCGGGGAGGAGTGGGTGGGAGTGGGAGAGAGAAAAATCCTCCTCTTATAAGGGGACTGGCCCTGTTGGATTTTTAACCTTTATTCTTCAGAGGCCTTATCTTCAATATAGTCACATTGGGGGTTAGAGCATCCATATATGAATGGTGAGAGACACATTCAGTCTGTAACAGGTGTTATATGATTAAATTCAGGTCAGTATGGCTGGAGCCTGGTGAGCGAAGGGGAGGGTGATAGGGAATGAAGCCAGAGAAGGTGGCCAGGGCCAGATTATCTCGAGCTCTGAAAGCCAAGGTTAGGACTTTGAATTTTATTCCAGGTGTGCTGAGAAGCTGAAGCAGAGAAGGGACATAATTTAATTAGTATTTTTTAAAGTACACTCAAACTTGTATAGAGAAATGACTCAAGGAGGCCAGAACTGGAAATAGACCAGTTAGAGAGTTAGTGCCGTAATTCAAGAGAGATATGAAGATGGTTTGGACTGGAATGGTTAGTAGTGGAAATGAAAGGACTTAAACTATTTCAGAAGATGTTTAGAAGCTGCTTAGTTAGATGTGGGGAATGAGAGGAAAAGGAATCAAGGATAATTCCTTAATTTTTGACTTGAGCAACCTGAAGGAGGAGCTTATTTGGGGTGGAGGAAGATTAAGATAGAGTTCTATATGGGTCAGGTTAAACTGAAATACTTTTATGAGTCTGGAACTCCAGTTGAGGTCATCAGCTGGGTTTATAGATAGAGAATAATTGTTAAACAGGGAGAATTTGTAGCCGTGGGATTGGATAAGGTCGTTTGGAGAAGAGGTCCCGGGTCCTCCTATGTTGCCTGTCAAGCGGGGGGGTGGGGGGGGGGGTGGCAGTAGAAGAGGCCCAATGTGGTATCTAAGAGCCAGGCAGAAAAAAGTGTTCAAAAGAGAAAGAATACTTAATCGTGACATTCCAGCATTTATAGCTTTGGCAGGAGATTTTATAAGAAATCTTATTGAAAGATTTTTTCTTCAAAGATTTCTTTTTCTCTTCCAATATGATGTGTATAGTACTGTGTTTATTATGATATTTTTAGTAGTTCATGTTGGATTTTTAATTTATCATTTTGTCCTGATTCACAATGCAAGTTTTAAAAACAGATTAAAAACCACTTGTTGATTTTAAAAGAAACTTTCTCAAAAGGCTACTAAAAGAGAGACTGAAGCCTAAGTCATAAATCAGTTGTGAAAGAATATAGCACCTGCTCTTTCTAGAACCTATCAGTTCAGTTCAGTTCAGTTGCTCAGTCATGTCCGACTCTTTGCAACCCTGTGGACTGCAGCACGCCAGGCCTCCCTGTCCATCACCGACTCCTGGAATTTACCCAAACTCATGTCCATTGAGTCGGTGATGCCATCCAACCATCTCATCCTCTGGTGTCCCCTTCTCCCGCCTTCAATCTTTCCCAGCATCAAGGTCTTTTCAAATGAGTCAGCTCTTTGTATCAGGTTGCCAAAGTATTGGAGTTTCAGCTTTAGCATCAGTCCTTCCAGTGAATATTCAGGACTGATTTCCTTTAGGATGGACTGGTTGGATTTCCTTGCAGTCCAAGGGACTCTCAAGAGTCTTCTCCAACACCACAGTTCAAAAGCATCAATTCTTCGGCGCTCAGCCTTCACCTTTCAGGCTGACTTGGGTAAGAGGGGAGGAAGCAGTCTGGGGTGGCCCCAAAAGGCAAAAGTGGGACCAGCCAGGTATAGATCTCAGTTCATCACAACAGGAGACTTTGTTCTAACAGTCAGAGCTGTCTTGGGATGGAGTAGAGACAGCACCGAGCACTCTTAAGTACAGTGAGACCGCAGAAGGCCGGCAGGAGCACAGAGTTTGGGATTACAAGACCCAGGTTCATGTCCTAATGTTGCCCTTTATGGGCTGTGGGATCTCGGGAGCCTCAGTTTCCTCACCTGCAAAATGGGAGGAGTACTAATGGAACAAGGGTTCCATTAAATGAATTCAGCCCTTAGCATAACCTTTGCTATTTTGTTTATTTGCTTGTTTATTGTCCACGGGGCTTCCCAGATGGCGCAGCAGTAAAGAATCTGCCTGCAGTGCAGGAAATGCAAGAGATGTGAGTTCAAGCCCTGGGTTGGGAAGATATCCTGGAGGAGGAAATGGCAACCCACTCCAGTATTCTTGACTGAAAAATCCCAGAGACAGAGGAGCCTGGTGGGCTACAGTCCAAAGGGTCACAAAAAGTGGGATGCAGCTGAGCACTGAGCATAGCGTTCCTTAACCAACTATACTTGGTGCTAAAATCTTTCATTGCATTACTCAAAAATCATGATTTTTCCTTGAAGCTGGAATACTTAATGGATGATTAATGCAGAATTATACTGGTTTTAATCTTAAAATAGCTTTTAAAAATAAAATAACTGGTCCTTTTTTAAAAACAGACTATATAAAACTCTAAAAGAGAAAGTAAAACTTGTAATTTAAAGTCAGAGATAATTACTGTTTTATAATATTTTGGAGGGTTTTGTTTGTTTGTTTGTTTAGTTTAACATATTTTTATAGTTAAACCTTTTTCTTTTTTATGGTTGTCTCTTTGTGGTGGGCAGGGACTGCTCTCTGGTTGCAGTGTGGGCTTCTCGTTGCGGGGGCTTCCCTTATTGCAGAGTGTGGGCTCTAGGACCTGTGCTCAGGCTCAGTAGGTGTGGCTCACTGACTTAGTTGCCCCACGTGTGGAATCTTCCCAGACCAGAGATCGAACCCACGTCCCCTGCATTGGCAGGTGGATTCTGATCCACTAGACTATGAGGGAAGTTCTTTGGTTAAAAATTGTTCTCAAGGATAAATTTTTAATCATGAAATTTGGGGGTAAAAGAGTAATCACATTTTTTAAGGTTTTATACATACAGGTTGTTAAATTGTTCCCCCCTCCCCCCAAGGAAATGCTCTACTAACCTACAGTTAATATCTGCAGTTAATATACGCTATAGCCAATAGTGAATACTGGCATTCTTTTTAATCTTTGCCAATTTTTAATAGAAAAACTTGCATCTTTTAGATTATTTTTTGTTTTTTATTTTCTTCACCTGCTAAGTAGCCATTGTTTCATATTTTTGAATTGTCCATGTTTTGTCCCATATTCTCTTGGCTTTTTGTCTCTGTTTAGATTTTTTATAAGCTGTCTGTTTATTAAAGATATTAAACGTTTGCTGTCATATGTTTTTTCTGTTTTATCTTAAATTTTATGACTTTTTTCATTCTGAATTTGAAATATCTTACTTGGGTTTAAACTTACATTGAGTTTTTGACACAGTTCAGTTTAGTGTTTTGACCTCTCTGTGGTTGAAATCAGTGTATGTTCAGGGATTAAAAATCCAAACCACAAAAGGAGAAAACCTGTCTGCTATCTGAACTTCTGTTTAACTTGACTAAATAATATGTTATTAATATATAGTAGACATTTTTAGCAATGTGAAGATATTGAATGAGTTTCTGAACACACTGAGAAAATGACAACTAAAAATATATCTTTCACAAAAGCATTGTATTTGCTTACATACATACCTTCATTCAGATATTTAAATAGGAAACTTTGCAGTATGTTAATTTCAGGAATTTCATGTTAGAAAAACTAGCATTTCTAAGTAGGCTAGATTCTAACTTCTGAAGTTCTGAAATAGGGCCCAAGTTGTGGCCGCTTGGTGAGATTTTCGGCTTTATTTCCCTCTTGGAATGATAGCCTAGGGTTGGACAGTCTGTCTGTTTAGGCTGCACGTTAGTACCCTTGTTCAGCTAATAATCAGAAGCCTCTTTTGCTGCAGACGGTTTATTTGTGCTTTCTCCTCTGCTTTGTCACTACTGTGTAAGTCTTGATCTTTACCAATTTCAGACGAGATAGAGTGGTAAAGGTGCTCATTTTGAACATTCTGAGTTGAAGAAACTATCTTGAGTTATATTTGGTTGTCATTTTATTTGTTTAATTTCTAGAACTCTTCCTCATGGGTACTATATAACATGGCTTCATTTTACTGGAGAATAAAGAATGAGCCATATCAAGTAGTGGAATGTGCCATGAGAGCTCTTCACTTCTCATCCAGGTAGGGTTCCTGTCCTTCCGGACCTATTATTTTCCACATAATTCAGGACTGTTAAAGTATATATTAAATAAGAAACAAGAAGAAGCATTGTATGTACTTACTTTCTCCTCAATCCCTGTTCCAAGAAATTAGTGCAGTCAAAAATGGTAGATGTCAAAGAGTTCAAAGCGATAATGGCATAACATACTTCTGATTTCTGTTAAGGAAAATATGCGATATAGATGCCCTCTGACTTACTTGGGACTTGGAAGTAAAGACCTAGGCTGGAGAAGTTATCAAAAGTTAAATTTTTCTCAAAGCAAACATCAGCCATGAATACATTTTAAAATCATAAAATGTCTGCCAGCCTTGATTTTTGTGGCAAAATTTGTAGCCATCAGATTGAATGAGCACCATAAATGATGTAAAGTGAAACATTAGGATTTTCTTAAATTATTTTCCCCATCTGTAAGCAAACTCAAAATTGTTTCCCAAAGCTCAACAGCTCTGAATGTACTTTGCGCCTGTCAGGTAGTCCCAGATCATTGTGGAGCACAAGCTTCTGTCCTGACGTCTGATTGCATCTCTCCTCCTCTTGAAGGCACAATAAAGACGTTGCCCTGGTCAACCTGGCGAACGTCCTGCACAGAGCACACTTCTCTGCCGACGCGGCCGTCGTGGTCCACGCGGCTCTGGACGACAGTGACTTCTTCACCAGCTACTACACTTTGGGAAACATATATGCAGTAAATACAACGCTTTTACATGAACCAATCCAGTTGCTCTTTCTTTTGTTTTTTTTCCTAGTTAAAAAATACCCTCTTCCCTTCTGTTCTAGACAAGAGAAAGGGGATAGAAATGAAGAAACTTGAGAAAAAAGAACTCAAACAATAATGAATCATAACTGTCCTAGCCTCTTGACAAAAAAATAATTAATCAATAGGAATATTAAATTTCTTTACAGTAGTCCTCTTAAGACAGCAGTTATTTGAACTGAGCCATCCTATACAGCATCGCTTCATGTTATGGAGGTTTGGCCACTGATTGAGATGATGTTCACTGTATGAAATTTGGTGTGATCTCATAAATCATAAGGACATTTGGACAGATACAACCAGGCTGACATTTTTCCCTCCTCTGTTTGTGTGTGTGTGTGTGTGTTTTTGTCTCTTTAGATGCTTGGGGAGTATAACCACTCAGTGCTCTGTTACGACCATGCTTTACAGGCCAAACCTGGGTTTGAGCAAGCCATAAAGAGGAAGCATGCTGTCCTGTGTCAGCAAAAACTCGAGCAGAAATTGGAAGCTCAACATAGGTAACTCGGAGGAAAAAATTTTACTGAAGCAAAAAAAATTTTACTAAAGCACTGTTTTACTGAAGCACAATAGATCATAGGTTAGACCTGTATAGGGTGAAATCAGCGTTAATTTGTTCATTAGAATTAAGAAAAACACCTTTTCACTACTACTAGTCCTGTCCTTTTTCTCCAGATCCAGGAGGCTTAGCACAAATCAGTGGTTGCGTACATGATTCTAGGTACTAGAGAATGTTTACAGTACATGCCATCATTTAAATCTTTACAATCTTGATCATCAGTTACTTGTATGAAGTCTGATGAAGGAGGGGGATACTGCCAGATGCTTAGTAACTCTATCGATTACATTTTTATTTCCATGAATTAGACTGTCAGTAAACTCACTTGCACATGCTATGTTCGATCTTTCTCCCCTTTGACTCCTAGGGTTGGGCTATTGTTATATTGGTTAAGTGATGTTGAGAGAGATTATTTGGCCCATGTTTTAAATCAGGTTTGTAGAAGCTGCACAGTAATGGAATTCCATTGTACTTGGCCCTTGTACTTAATAAAAAATGTACTGTGTTTAATTCTATAAATAATAAGACCAGTAAAGGAACTGCACATAATTCAGAAATGAATTGTTCATCACTTACAGAATTTTGAGTCTGATTATTAGAGCATTCAGTGGAGATTAGGATTTCATTGAATTTTCCATTTAATGAATAAATTTTCCATTTTCCAATCTGTTTAAAAGCCTGATGTAGTAAAAAAGGATAGAATGATAGCTTTTGCCTGGCTTCTGTTACACCTGCTCAGAACTTGCCCTTGCTGAGCTTCTTCTAATATTATGTTCTTCTTACACAATCTGTTCAGCTCTTAAACCTCCGTATGTTAAGTGTAATAAGTAGTAAGATTTTTGTGACTGAATATAATGAAGCCACTGATTTATTGATATCAGCTGGTAGAGAATATTCCTTTCCAAGCAGTTTCTGTGGTTTTTACCCAAATCTGTAAACCAAAGAGCTCCAATGCAAGAGCCTGGTATTGTGGCCTTTTTTCTTAACCTTTTGTTTAGATAGAATCAAAAGAAAAGGAAGATTCTAGAAAGGCTTTGTATGTCAGTGGAATTAATATAATCTTCGTGGAGGAAAACAGAGTTGTTAAATCTGTAGAGCTTTATAGTATATCACTCTGTATCTTTTTTGGCCCCTGCAAAGTCTACCACACCATTTAATGGCATTAATTGTTGTATTTATGAGAAGAATTTCACATCTGTCTTTTTACCACCCAAATATTAATAAAGTGGTAGCATTTATTTAGCCCCGTGGTTCTTGAGATGGTGGTACAGTGGTTGTTTGTTAAAAGTCAAAATCTTGGCAATTTTTGCTGAGAACCAGAAAATCTGTGTATTTAAGTGGGCTTAAACATTTACAGTTTTAAAGCTCTGTAACTTTTTCCTGGCGTTAAAAAATGTTAAGATCCCTCCAGCGAACACTGAATGAGTTGAAGGAGTATCAAAAGCAACATGACCACTACCTGAGACAGCAGGAAATCCTAGAAAAACATAAGCTGATTCAGGAAGAGCAGATCCTAAGAAATATCATCCATGAGACCCAGATGGCAAAAGAGGCACAATTAGGTAAGTCCCGATTCCAAGTAATTTTTAAAGGCAGATTAGGAAGTTCATGTCTAGTGTGCTTCACTTTTACAACTTTCACGTAGCCACGAAGCAGTGTAAAATTGTGCTTATGATTTCCCTGGATCTTAAAATGAAGTTATCACTGCAAGTGGACCAGCAGGCCTGGGAGCCAGTTTGATCCTCCTAACTTTTTTATAATTCACATTTTAAAGTAAAAGCCAAATCTTTTGTATCCTAGGAGTCCTAACAGTTTTTTGCCCTCTGTGGCCAACACTGATACTTCTCTAACTTTAATATGTATGTCAGTCTCTTGGAAATCTTGTCAAAATGCAGATTCTGATTCAGTAGGTCTGAGGTGGGGCCTGAGATTCTTGTTTTTCTAACAAACTCCTATTTACTGCTGCTGATCCAAAAGCTCACTGTGAGTAACATAGCCCTACAGCAAGTTAATGCAAGCCAGACACACCCTGGAAACAAAAAATTCACACTTTTCAGCCAACACTGGCAGTAAGACTAAATGTTCTTTTTTTCTTGCATTAAAACAAATGTTTTATTTTAGAAGAGTTTAGACTAGACTTTGTCTTAAGCAAAAAAAGTCATCAGTGGTTTACTTTCAGGGGATTCTGAAATCCTCCCCCAAATTACACACAATATTGTGTATATGCACAACTTCTTTTCTGCGAAGACGATATATAGCTCTTTGTGAGGAGGTGGGGGGTGCGGGGGAGGCACACCGTGTAGATATGCAGATTCTTAGTTTCCTGATCGGGGATTGAACATGTGCCCCGTGCAGATGAAGCATGGAGTCTTAACCACTAGACCACTGGGGACATCCCATTATTAACATCTCTTACAGCCTGTGACCGCAAAACAGAACCACTGGTCTAAAGGAACTGGCGTTAACAGCATACCAGTGATTTGGTTGTTCCCAGAATGTTTCATTTATGCTCAAACCCTGTGGGAGCAGATATGACAACTTGACACCAAAGAGTAAATAAATAGAATCCCTTACATAATATCCTCTCCCTTGATAAGTAGAGTCTGTTACAGCCTCTTGGCATTACAAAGAATTGGACGTGACTGAACAACAATGTGACCATTTATAGTCCCATTTTACAATTCACCTGACAAGTTTTCTTTGCTATTTTGAGTGTAAAGAGTATGTTTGGTACTTGGGATTACTTACTGCTCAGTCTGTACTAAAATGCAACCAGAGCTCTTATATATAAATTTGAAAAAGTTATGAAGTATGTAAAGCAAACTGTCTCCAGAGAGATGGGAAAAGTCTTAAAACCATTTACTCAGTAGATTTTACAGTCATAGAATTGCCAGAAAACACCTCAGTGATTATTTAGTGGCGCCTTCGTTTTATAGATGAAGAAATTGAGGCTTTAGAATGATTTCACTAACCTCTAAGGAGTTTCCCCCTGGATGAGTACCCCTCCATAAGCACTCTGCCAGGCTCTGAAGAATACAGGGTTGATACTACATGACTTAGACTAAGAAAATTGTCTTGGCATTGTTGATCTTTTCATCGGTTTTAATTTCCTTTTGTATCCCAGGAAATCATCAGATATGCCGTCTGGTCAACCAGCAGCATAGTTTACATTGCCAGTGGGACCAACCTGTGCGCTACCACCGTGGTGATATCTTTGAAAATGTGGACTATGTCCAGGTCTTTTCCTTGGTCTCTTTTAGTTCTTACAAACTTTTGCATTATCAAGAGTAACATTGCTCTCCCGCCCCCAATTCCTTGTATATTTGATCTCTAAAATGTGTGATTGTCATTTTAAGATTTTGAGTATCTGTTATGTTTTTGAAGTCAGATTTCTAGAGAGTACTCAGTTACTTCATGAATGATATTTCTGTTTCCTAAAGCACTAGCTGTATTTGTCTTTTCATATGTGTTTAATTCCTGTCTTTACCATGAGAGCTAGAATTGGTCTATGACTCAAAGCCTTTACCTTTCCTTATAACTTATTTTAGTAAGACCTCTACTTTACAATTTGGCAAAGAGTAGCCATGCTTTTTGCGAAAGTCATCAGTTCAGTTATGTTGCTTCAACCAAAAACATTAACAAAATTATCATTATCAACAAGAAACGTTTATTAAGTACCATTGCTGTTTGCATGTTTTCTCTTTCTTTCTGTCTCTGTGTATGTTACATACACATATACATACAGTCACACATGCACATAACATCCCAGCCTGTCTAGTTGGGAAGAAATAATACATAATGATACCAAATGGCATGTAACTGATGCTGATATAGATAGTAAGTACAACCAGAGTCCAATTTTCATTCAAAAGGATACTGGAAATAAAATAACATTTATTATATCCTATAGAAAACCCATCATGTCCTTAATCATAGATACAGAAACTTCTTGTGAGAAGCAGTTAAAGCAATTAAGAGATCAGGACAGCATCTATAGAAAGACAGACCATGAAAAATTAGAACACTTTAATCTGGGGGAAAAAAAAGAAAACCCAGACATTGGGAAAGAGTAAGAAGCAAAAATTAAGAGGTCATTTAGGAAGAGAAATAGTAATAGAAGCCAAAAGCTTACTGATTATTGTGAGCCAGCTTCTAGCAATATCCCATGTTTAGTTTTCAGGAGTAGTAAAGGAAGAACAGGCTCACACCCACTAAGATTGTAGCTCCCTGTCTTAAATCCAAGCATTTTAAGCGGAAAAGGGGAATGTTTAGAAATGAAATAGACTGAAACACAATGTAACTTTTAGAAATTATAATGGTCTCAAGACAGACCATTTGGAAGACTGCCATGTACCAGTGTAGCTTCCAGTAGGTATCCATGAATTTCATTACCTCTATATAGTGAAAAACTATATTCCTGTTCATCAAGGCATGGAGCTATAAATTCATCATACTCATTCCTTTTACTCCTGTTTTTCCTACTCCATCCCATCTTAGTCCTACTCTCTTTTCTAACAAGGTTCCAGAAATACATAGGAAATATGGTATCTTGTGAGAATATCAGATATTGTTCTTTGGTTTGGGGGGAGGCTATACATATTTGAAATTGATTGTACAATAGTATTTAATGCCTAAGTGATAGGTATATTAAGCACAATAATTTTATAGAGTAGTTATCACTTTAGTCCAGACAGGGGAGAAGTATGAACCAAACCTCTAAATCAGCCATTTAAATCAGTTAAACCTGTGAGAGACTAAATCATAGAAAGGAAATGGACAGAGAAGAAAACAGCCCACACTAGTTTTCTCACACATCAACGGCATAGTTGACTGAAAGTTGCTAGCTATGCATTATCTGTGAGAGAATACTATTGGGGCATGGTTCTGAAAATTAAAGATCTGATTGCTTTTTAGCTGACCTTTCTGATTTCCTTCTAATTTTTATTTATTCACTAACATTTCGGGCTTAAGTTAAATCTGAGTCACAACTGCTTTTCTGCTTTCAATTTGATTGAACTTTTCTTTTCATTTTCTAGTTTGGTGAAGATTCCTCAACCTCCAGTATGATGTCTGTGAACTTTGATGTTCAAGCAAATCAGAGTGATATCAGTGATTTGGTCAAGTCTTCTCCTGTAGCCCATTCTGTTCTCTGGATCTGGGGCAGGGACTCTGATGCATATAGGGTAAGTTAGTAGAGGATGATGAAAGAGTTTTCTCAGACAAGATTTCTTAAAGGAGTGGCCCTCAATCCTGCTGATTAATATGGCTGCATCACTGTTGAACAAGAAGTTGTTAAGCTTAGATTAAATGTAAGGCCTTCTGCTAGGTGGTGGATAAGTAGGACATAGGATCTTTCTTGATTTCTTGCCAGCCACATGGGGCAGATAGACTCCCTGATGTCAAATCAAAGGTCTAAGTAAACTTACCAGCCCATGTAATTTTCTAAACTTGACCTATGTGTGTGTTTGTATACATTTCATGTATTCAGTCAGCACTCTTTTACTGAGCTCACAACTATATACCAGGTTCCTTGCTCTGCTGGAGCTCCCCTTGTTGCAGAAGGTAAATAAGTATATGAATATGTATTTCCAAGCTAGCTAAGAGATAATTATATGTTAGCCAGTGGAGATATCAAGATATGAAGACAGAAACATGGTTTTTTTTTTTAAGTATTAGTCACTCAGTCATGTCCAATTCTTTGTGACTCCATAGACTGTAGCCTGCAAGGATCCTCTGCCCATGGGGTTTTCCAGGCAAGAATAGTGGAGTCGGTAGCCATGCCCTTCTCCAGGAAATCTTCCCAACCCAGGGATTGAACCTGGGTCTCCTGCATTACAGGCAGATTCTTTACCATCTGAGCCACCAGGGAAGCCCTCACTATTAAATTTTAAGAAATTTAACAGAATTAATACAGCCACTTATATTTAATTATATGAAATGTAAACTCCCAAGTTTGAAAGCTTCCAGCTATAAGTTTAGTAAATGTCTGGTACTAATTATTTATATTTAGAAAAATGGAATTTTACAAATAAAATAATTGTTAAACTTTGGCATTGGCAAAGAAAAGGTCTTAGTTAAGGGGAAAATAGTTCTCTGGGCCAGTTTCTTACGTGTCTGTGCTTCCCAGTATAGGTCACAAACTTTACCTCAAATTGACTTAAAAGAAAATTCACCTCGTATTATAGGAAATCCAAAGACAGAGCAAACTTTGATTTTGGTTGATCAGTGGCCCAGTAACCCATTGTTTTCCTCTTCTTTAATTTGGTATCCACTGTATTGATTCCATGCAAAAGCTGTTCTTCCTCGTGGTAATGAGGCAACAGCCAGCAGCAGCTGGAGCAATGTGGTTTTTGCTCCTGTGGCTTAAGAGACTAAGACTGCCATTTCTTTCTTGGAATCCCGAAGCAGACCTCTCCCTGTGTCTTACTGGCTCAGCTGAGTTAAGCCTGCCCAACCCTGAGCCAGTCTGTGGTAGAGCAGGTAGAATTACTGACTTAGACTAACAGTGCACAGTAGAAAGAATATTCTAGAGTCTACCTCAGTCTCTAGATCCTAAAATACTAAATTGTTGTTTGGTTTTCCTGCTAACATTTATGTTCTTTTTAAAAGTTCATTTAGCATGTTGAAGTATTGACTCTGAAGAAATTTATGAGAAACTTTTTTTCTCTGTTAGGACAAGCAGCATATTCTGTGGCCTAAAAGAGCTGATTGTGCAGAAAGCTATCCCAGAGTCCCCATTGGTGGGGAATTGCCAACGTATTTTCTGCCTCCGGAAAACAAAGGACTCAGGCAAGTGCTTATGGCTATGGCAAAGCACTTGATTCTGCATGATTATCATCTGGCGGTTCTTTGAGAGCACCAGCCTTGGACCTGAAAGGTTAAGTCTTTATTTTGAAGTCACCCAAGCTTTGAAAATATGAATTTTGTTCCTTTTTCTTGTGCCAGGATCCACGAACTCAACAGTGATGATTATTCTTCAGAAGAAGAGGCCCAAACCCCTGACTGTTCCATAACTGACATCAGAAAAAGCCAGACCCTGTCCTACTTAGTCAAAGAATTAGAGGTCCGCATGGATCTGAAAGCCAAAATGCCAGATGACCATGCACGAAAAGTAAGGCTCACTTAGGCTTGGCGTTTATTGCCGTCCACTCTGGGTGATTTCACAAGCCTCATCGGTGGAGCAAAAATTAAATAGAGGGCAGTTGTTGAGCTCTAAGTTTATAAAACCGAAGGATTGAGTTAAAGAATTAGTGAAATTATTAAGAAGTCAGTCATACTGTTGAAGGACTGCCAGCAAAGTGTTCCTTGGGGTTGCTGTTTACACAGACCACCTACGTACTGTTCCTCTAAGAGGGCTGCAAAGATGAGTCACATAGAACTCTCTTTACCTAGTGAAGGCCATTCTGACCACTGCAGTTTAGCTTTGCATCCTCCAAGCCACCAGAAGTTTGTATAATTGAAATTGAAAGCTTGAGGATTCTCTTTCCTTGGCCTTATCAGCCCTGCTTTGGACTCATATGAGGTCCTTAGGAATTTGTATGAATTTGATAACCTCTTTGCAAACATTATAAATATGTTCTGTTAGGCTGTCTTCCGTAGTTCCTATAAGTTATGTGTAACTAGGAATCTTATTACTGAATATAAATCCTAGGGTAAACACCATTCCATGGATACAAAGGAAAAAATTTCCTTTTTACAGAGAAAACAAACCATCACAATGACCTTTGTTAAATTTAATTTTGAAACTATGAGTAGTTACTGCTTTCATTCAACATTTACTGAAGCAAAAAAACCTTATGTTCCAGGCAGTGTTTGGAGTTCTAGAAATACAAAGATAAACAGACCATGATCCCTTTCTTAGAGTTGTTCACAGTTACATAAATGCTTCAGGAATATAAAGTGATTAACTGAGGATCTGGTGCTTTTCCAGCTAGGAAGGATAGCAGATAATTGCATCAGGTATTGCATGCTTTGTTTTCTCAATAATTTCTCATTTGGTTCTGGACACTTAGGTTGACTTTAATGGGGAGATGATAGATCATCTTAATAATGTATGTGCTGTATATGTCTTTTGATTATTTTTTTTTAGTTAAAGGAAACTAAGGCATACATGTGAGTAAGGTAACACCTGTTGGTATGTCAGTGACCTCATGTTATATATATAAATTATAAATGTCTATTCAAATTAGCTGTTCCTGAAGAGTTCAAGTAAGGATCTGTAGAAATTCTTTTCAAATGTCTTCCCTATTATTTTCAATTGATTCAGTCTTCCTTTTAATGTTTTCAGATTTTGCTTTCCCGTATTAATAACTATACTATCCCAGAAGAAGAAATTGGGTCTTTCTTATTTCATGCTATTAACAAGGTGAGCCGCCTACTTCAGACATCTGAAATTTAAATGCTGGGTAATTGTAATTAAAAGTTACAATGCATGTATTAAAAATTCTTTTTAGCATGAGTTCTGTCTTCTTGAATTAAGTGTTTGGGCTTTTTCAGCCTAATGCTCCTGTCTGGCTGATCCTCAATGAAGCTGGACTCTACTGGAGAGCAGTAGGAAATAGCACTTTTGCTATTGCTTGTCTTCAGAGGGCTTTGAATTTGGCTCCCCTTCAATACCAGGACGTTCCTCTTGTTAACTTGGCCAACCTTTTGATTCACTATGGCCTTCATCTTGACGCCACTAAACTGCTACTTCAAGCTTTGGCCATCAATAGCTCTGAGGTGAGGTTTCATGTTCCTTTGTAGCAATATGTACTAAGTAGTGGTAACTCAAATTCAGAGTATTCGTTGTATTTTTGTAGAGAGGGCATAAAGAAATCTCATTTTATTTTTCAGAGTAGAATGTGCATATTGTAAGAGGGCTTTTGTTATATTTTTGATGTGTTTATCTCTGTTTTAAAATAAGTTTATAAATTATGTAGTTTATTTTTAGAAACATATTTAAAAAAGAATGACATGGCTGCTAAAAATACACTGCCACCTTTTTATGTTGGAAACATCTGCTTCTCATTTTATCTTACTCATTACAGCATGCACATCCTTTAGTATTATATTGTTTTACAACTTGAAATCTGTATACCAACCAAGCCAGGGCACAGTTTAAAGGTTGTTTTGATAAGGATAGATAGGTTCGTACCTTGAACCTTCCACATGAAGTCCGTGGAGTTACATCTCTGCTTTGTAGTTTATTACTTTATTTCATAGTTTCTAAAATACCACTTCCTTTTTTTTTCATATATTAACATCTCTGAAATAAGGATGCGTGTTACAATTGATGGCGTTTTAGGTTTGATGAAATGCAGTTATAATAAATGTATAATTAAATTGTTTTTATACTTAGTGTCTAAATGTTTCCAAGTTTTATACCCAAAGAAACTTTTAGAAGAACTGTGCATGAATGGCTTAGGTTTATTTGAGGTGTCCCCAAACTAATTTCTTTCAGTATTAGAAGGAAATGTTGCCTAATACAAGTTTTCCTTTGAAATAAATTCACAACTGAATTTTAAGTAGAAGTTTACAACCACTGTGTTATATACAAAGACCAGTTTGCCAGAGAAGTACATCAAATATTTATCAAATGTTTACAGTGTCAGGTGTGGGTATAGTAGAACAGATGCTCTCTATGGGATATGATAGAACACCCAAATAGAAGGCTCAGCACAGCTGTATTCCCTTCACACTTGTAAGGGTTCACTTTTTTGCACCATCAGCCAAGGCAATTAGGCAGTATTCTTCTGAAGAAAAAAGAGCTCCTTTAGAGATTAGTTGCCTTTATATATTTGAAAATTCTCCTAAAATTTCAGTTAAATACTGTGGTGCTGTAACAAGAATAAAAGGATAAATCAGTGAATCAGGGTAGATACCCCTGAATATACCTTCATCAGACCCTACCCCCCACTGTCAACATTTGGAAATATTTCCTTGTAAGCTTTCCCTCTACGTAAATATTTTGTATGTTGTAACTTTACTAAGTCACTTCAGTTGTGTCCAACTCTTTGTGACCTCCTGCATTGTAGCCTGCCAGGCTCCTCCGTCCATGGGATTCTCTAGGCAAGAACACTGGAGTGGGTTGCCATGCTCTCCTCCAGGGGATCCTCCCAACCCAGGGATCGAACCCATGTCTTGTGTGGCCCTACATTGCGGGAGGATTCTTTACCACTGAGCCACCAGGGAAGCCCCTTACTGTAGCTTTGGTGCCCTTTAAACCTTATTATATAAGAAATTATTGCTGTATAGTTTTTATAGCCATCAATTTAAATGATTGTGTAAAGAAAATTTTCTTAGGAAAGATTGCTGGTAGAATGAATATTTTGATGCCTTTGATACAGACTACTAAACAATTCAGAAAAACATTTGAGCCAGTATATGTTGCCATACTCAAGATCTGTGAATATTCATTTCTCTAGTATTATCACCAGATAATACAATTATCAAGCAATTGAAATAACTGCTAACTTTTATTGTTTTCTAGTGCACCATACGAAGCACTTTACATGTAATAACTCATTTAATCCACACAACCCTCTGAGATAAGATTTACCCATTTGATAGAAAAAGAAAACTGAAGGGATTTATAGAAAGTCAAAGAGCTTGGATTTGAAGTCAGGGAGATTGGCCTCAGAGTTCACACTATAGTCAAGTCACACTGCTTCTGTATTAGCATTTGTAAAACAAATTTACTTAAAGAAATTTTCACTTCTCTATTGTAACAAATTTCTTTATCCTATTTTAAGGATATTGTATTTCAACTGTATTTTTAAAGTAACAGTTTATGTAGCAATTTTGTCCATTTTGTTAGAATCTTTAAAATTTTACATGAATTCTTTTTACAGTAAAGTCTTTTAAACTCCATCTGTCATATGTTAAAAATACTTTCTCTCCTTGCCTTTTTATCTTAGCTTTTAAAAATTCCCTTAATTTACTATCTTCTTCCTTTTGTTTTCTATTCTTAGATTTAAGATGTCTTCATAAGAAGGTTGAAAAAAATAGTCCTTTTTTGGTTTTGTTTTCTATGGTTTGTCTTTAAATAGTTGACTCTTGGATATACACAGATCTTTTCCTGTGCTGTCTTCCAGATGTTTTATGGTTTCAGGTTTTACATCTAGACCTATGATCCATTTCAGGTTAAATTTTCTTTGTGATGTTAGGTAGAAATCAAAGTTGATATCCACATGTATATCCAGTTGTTCAGAACCGTATCTCAAGAACACTGTGCTTTCCTTATTGACTCATGTATCAACTTTGCTCTGAACTCCAGACTCCTTTATTCAGCAGTCTGTCTGACATCTCCACTTGAATGTCTGGAACCCTAACTGCAGGCCAAAACTAAGCTCCTTAGCCTTGTTCCAGTTTGGTCTTGGTCTTCCCCATTTCTGTAAGCGGTGAAGCCAGTAGTTTAAGATAGAAACTTAGAGTTATCCTTCGAACCTTTCTCCTCAAAGAGCAGATGCGATCTGTTAATTAAGCTTGCTGATTCTGTTTTTAAAATATACCCAGAATTTCACTATTTATCTTCATCTCCACTGCTGTCTTCCCTGGTGGCCCAGATGGTAAAGAATCGGCCTGCAATGCAGGAGACCTGGGTTCAATCCCTGGGTTGGGAAGATCTGCTGGAGAAGGGAACCCACTCCAGTATTCTGGCCTGAAGAATTCCATGGACACAGGAGCCTGGCAGGCTACAGTCCAGGGGTCTCAAAGAGTTGGATACGACTGAGTGACTTTCACTTCACTTCCACTGCTGTCTTATCCAAACCATCATTAAGTTTTATCCAAACCATCATTATCTTTTATCTCGATTATTTCAGTAGCCTCCTAACTAGATTCTGAATTTTTTGCTTTTATCACCCTATAGTCTATTCATATTATAGCAAACAATGAGATTATTATTAAAAATCAGATGTTGTCATTTGTCTATTCAAATCTCTTCAGTGTCCCTCCGTGTAACTCACTTTAAGAGACAAGAATTTATAATGGGGTAGAAAGTCCTACGTGACCTTGTTACTTTTCCTGTCTCATATCTGTGAGATCATTCCATTGATCATTCTGTTCCAGCCTCACTTGCCTTCATGCAGTTCCTTGAACATGCTAGCTGTGGTCCCTCCTCAGGACCTTTGCATTTTCTGTTCTTTCTGTTTGGAATGCTTCATCCCACTAAGATTCTTCCTAGTTTGTGCCTCATCTCCTTAAAATCTTTTACAAATACTAACTTTGCAGTAAGTCTTTCCATTACTACTATATTTGAAATGCCACTCTCTTCCCAACTCTTAGTACTACTTATGTCTCTTCCCTGCTGTTCTTTCTTTTATCACATTTTACTCACAATTGTATAACATCCCCACAGTTGTGTGACACGAGACTCTAAGATCCACTGAGGCAGAGGTTTATCTTTTTTGTTTTCTGCTGTATCCCCAGTATGAAAAACAGTATTTGAAACACAGTGAAAACAATCACTCAGTACTTATTTTCTGACTGAATTCATGAAAATTACTTTTTTCTAAAATGCTGAACAGTTCATCTGAATACGAGGTATTTGCCCAATTATCATTCTAGTCATAGGGATAATCATGATACTTTGTTTCCTAATGGGAAATATAAAGACACTTAATTTAAGTATGGAATTTAATTTTATATCTTGTAAACCTTTAAGTAATACTTTAAGTGTAACTTGAGAACTACTTACAGTAGACCTCTTTAATCTGGAATATTTTGTAAACCTTGGCTTGGTTATAGTGAGATATTTCTGATGACTCTAACAGCCTGAATCAGAAGCAGTAGCTGATAAATTATAGGTGTTGCATGTTCTAATATCTTCTGGTTTATAGTCTTTGAGAACTTAAGTAGAATTTGTATCCTGCTGTTGTATGAAAATTGTATAAATCTTAATTATGTTGAATTGGTTCATAGTTCTTTTCAGATCTACTGTATCCTACTTTTCTGACTATTCATTCTTTCAATTTTGAGAGTTTGATATTGAAACTCCAACTAAAAATCTTAATTTAACTACTTAAAAAAATAATTGTAATATATAGTGGAACTGTATGTAACTTTGTTCTGTATTTTCCAAGTCTTCTGTAAATGTATCATCATACTTTCATGATTTAAAAAAGAAATTATAGGTATTGCTTTCGTGGAGATATACTGTGCAGTTTGGGAATACAACATTCTTAAATCTTTTAAAATATTTTTCATGATAAAATAAGTGTAGAATAAATGGTTTGTACACAGCAAATACTAAGCATAGGCATATTTCCACTAAAATGACCTCAACTGAATACTTTGGGCTGCTTATATAAAGTCTCAAAAAACAATTGGAAAATAGAATTTTAAGACTATTTACAATAGCATCAAAAAAGCAGATATCTAGAAATAAATCTAAAGGAAGGTGCACAAGATTTCTATCCTGATTACAAAACATTGCTAGGAGAAAACGTAAATAAATGGTGGTGTATTGATATATCATGTACATGGATTGGAAGATTCAGTATTGTTAAGGTGTAAGTTCTCTTTAAGTTGATGTATAGATTCAATTTCATCCCAAACTCCCAGCAATTGCATGTATTTGTGTGTGTGAATTGATGAGTAGTTTCAAAAATCTACATAAAAATGCATCTTAGAATAGCATAAAGATTTGGGGGTTAGAGAAATAAAATCAGAGTTGGAAGACTTTCATTATCAGATTTTAAGACTTACTGTAATTAAATCAGTGGAATTGGCACAAAGATACTCAAATACACAAGTGGAACAAAATAGAGAAATTAAAAATAAGCTGATTTATGACGAATGCACACATGTAGTTTAGTGTCTGGGGGAGCTCTGGGTTCTCAGTAAGCAGTAGTGGAGTACTTGGATATCCTCTATGGAAAAAGAAATGAACCTTGACTCCTACCTCATATTGTATACAAAATTAATTGGAGGTGGATCATGTACCATAATGTGAAAGAGAAAACAATAAAACTTCTTGATGAAAACATAGGAGAAAGTCTTCATTACCTTATAGCTGGCAGAGATTTCATAAAGCACTGACTACAAAAGAAAAAAAAATATGTAAACTGAACTTCATTAAAATTAAGAATTTCTGTTTATCAAAAGATACCATTAAGAAAATAAAAAGGCAAATGATAGCCTGGGAAAGATATTTGGAATAAATATGTCCAACAAAGACTTCATGTCTAGTATATATATATATATATATATATATATATATATATATATAAAGAACTCCTTCAAATCAGTAAGAAAAAAAAGACAACCCATTTTTTTAATGAGGAAAGCAACAGCACTTCAGAACTAAGTGTACCAAAATGACCACCAAGTATATTACTGATCAAGGAAATGCAAATTAAAATCACAGTGAGATGCCACTTAAGCATCTCACTAGAACAGCTAAATTTTAAAAACTGACAATACCAAGTCAGTGAATTCTCACACTTACTGGTAGGAGTATTAAGTCTGTATGTCCATTTTGGAAAACTATTTGCTTGGATCTCTTAAAACTAAATGTATGCCTATCTTAAGAACCACTTCTAAATGTATACCCAAGGAAAATGAGTAATATGTCTATCAGAAGACATTTACAACAATGTTCACTTCATAGTAAATTTATCTGTGGTACATCAAAAACCGCAAACAATCCTGTAATTGCCTATCAGGAGAATGGATGAACAAACAATGTGGTGTATTCACATGTGGATACATCACACATCAATTTTTTAAAAAAAGAGTGAACATATAGTATACCCAAAAAAAGCCTTACAGGTTTGGTTGAGTAAAAGAAGCTACAGGAGGGTACATGTTATATGCACAAGGGAACATGCTGTTTGATTCTATTTATGTGATGTTCAAGAACAGGTGGCAGTAAGTAATCTGTGGTGATAGAAGTCACAGCATCATATCATTGGTTACATCTGGAGTTGGGGGTGGGGTTGCCCAAGGGAGCCTCTCAGGGTACTAGACATGTTCTAAATGTTGTATATCTTTAGATGAGCGGTGTTTACAGCTGTACAGTTAAGACTAATGTACATTACACAGTTGATGTAATTTTTATCTTAGTAAAAAGGTAAAGAATAAATTTATGTTAAACAGTTTAGAATTAGCTGATGTGAATAAAATGGACAGCTGGGGTAACTTTTATAGGATAACCCTAAAAAAAAGCCAAAAGACATACAACTGTAAAGGTTTTGTATCGCTCTTAAAATATTAATTCATTAACATTTTGCTGATTTTTCTTTTTTTTCTTTTCAGCCCCTGACCTTTTTGAGCCTGGGAAATGCTTACCTTGCTCTGAAGAATATCAGTGGGGCACTTGAGGCCTTTAGACAGGCTTTGAAATTAACTACCAAATGCCCCGAGTGTGAGAACAGCCTGAAGCTGATCCGCTGTATGCAGTTTTATCCCTTTCTGTACAACATCACCTCTTCTGTCTGCAGTGGTAAGCAGCTGTTCATCCCCGCCAGAAAACGAGTTCAGTTGGGATTCCTGTTTTGATCAACAGAACACAGAAAATCATTTTCTTAATTTTCCCAAGGATTTTACTTAACTAGCATAATTCTAGATACATAGAAAAGAAAATTCATTGCTTTCTATGTAAATACTCTGGAGCATTTGGCTTTAGTTCTCTCCCAGAACCCTAGTTTGAGAAAGGCTGATTAAAATATATTATTCAGTTGGGATTGCTTAGCCGTGAGGTTTTTTTTCCCTCTCAAAATCTCTGATGTTTTACAATAACTGATACTTATGGCAAAGGAAGTTTTTTTTCTGCCATGAATTCAAACTATGTCATGAGATTTGAAGCAGTGTTTCTATCCTCATTCACTGAGATACAGCCCCTTGGCTTTGAGTGAAGCTGATGGCAGACCTTTACTGCACCTTTAAAATAGTTGCCTGACGTGAAGTGGTATCCGCTATGCATTCTTCTACTTTCTCCCTCCACCACCACGCATATATACGTACATGCATGTTCAGAAGTGTATCTACCTGGGTCAGAAGTATTTGAGTTAGTATCTAAGTTATTGTAGGTTTATCAATTAGAACTCCCTAAGAGTTCCATGGTATTTTTTTTCTTCAGTATTTTTTATTGAAGTATAGCTAATTTACAATGGTGTATTAATTTTTTCTGTATAGCAAAATGATTCAATTTTACATATATATGTATATTCTTTTTTATATTCTTTTCTGTTTGTGGTTTATCATAGGATATTGAATATAGTAGTTCCACAATATTTGATTATTTACTTGCTGAACCTTCACTGGGAAGGAAAAAAAATGAGTTACGAGTAAACTTGAATTACGAGTGGTGCAGTTTATATACGTATGGATCCTCAGTGCCTTGCTTTTGTAGAGCACACAGTAGTTGCTCTGTTAATGTTCAAATTAGATCCAATATTTGACCAGAGGACTAGTCCAGCTCCTTCTATCAGATTATTGTTTTAAGTGACACACACTTCATTAAGTGACTTGTCTAAAAGGCATCAATAATTACCAGATTTGGCATTCAAATTCATTTTCTTGATTCACTTTACTACACTGCTTTAGGATTTTAATGGAAGGCAGTTAGTCATTTTAAATATCAGAGCCCAGTTTTCTTGTGAAGAAACAAAAAAAATCTCTCAGCAGCATAACACCATAGCTCAGTGCAAATCAGTGTTGCGCACTATCTAAACTGCAGTAGAATTTGTATGTGACTGCTGAGGGCGTGAGGCACGGTTTTAGCAGGCAGTGTGGTGCAGTGGCTGGTGCTAGAGTCAAACAGATTCACGTTGGAGCCCTGCTTCTGCCATTACTGTCTCTCTTCTCAGTAAAGTGTGTCCTAATCTGTGAAACGAAAAAGTAAAATCTCATACACTTTTGGGGAGAACTAAATGAGATTATTTTCACTGAGTAGGTCTTAGGTAAAAGTAAGCCATTAGAAATTCATGATGAATGCAAAATATGACTCAAAAGGTTAAGAATCTTCTTACGTCAGACCCCTATATATGCTGTCTACAAGAGACCCACCTCAAAGCAAGGGACACATACAGACTAAAAGTGAAGGGCTGGAAAAAAATATTCCACGCAAACGGAGACCAAAAGAAAGCAGGAGTCGCAATATTCATATCAGATAAAATAGACTTTCAAATAAAGACTGTGAAAAGAGACAAAGATGGACACTACATAATGATCAAAGGATCAATCCAAGAAGAAGATATAACAATTATAAATATATATGCACCCAACATAGGAGCACCGCAATATGTAAGGCAAACGCTAACTAGTATGAAAGAGGAAATTAATAGTAACACAATAATAGTAGGAGACTTTAATACCCCACTCACAACTATGGATAGATCAACTAAACAGAAAATGAACAAGGAAGCACAAACTTTAAAGGACACAATGGACCAGCTAGACCTAATTGACATCTATAGGACGTTTCACCCCCAAACAATCAACTTCACCTTTTTCTCAAGTGCACACGGATCCTTCTCCAGAATAGATCACATCCTGGGCCATAAATCTAGTCTTGGTAAATTCCAAAAGATTGAAATCATTCCAGTCATCTTTTCTGACCACAGTGCAGTAAGATTAGATCTTAATTACAGGAAAAAAATTATTAAAAATTCAAACATATGGAGGCTAAACAACACGCTTCTGAATAACCAACAAATCATAGAAGAAATCAAAAAAGAAATAAAAATATGCATAGAAATAAATGAAAATGAAAACACAACAACCCAAAACCTATGGGACACTGTAAAGGCAGTGCTAAGGGGAAGATTCATAGCATTACAGGCCTACCTCAAGAAACAAGAAAAAAGTCAAATAAATAACCTAACTCTACACCTAAAGCAACTAGAGGAGGAAGAAATGAAGAACCCCAGGGTTAGTAGAAGGAAAGAAATCTTAAAAGTTAGGGCAGAAATAAATGCAAAAGAAACTAAAGAGATCATAGCAAAAATTAACAAAGCTAAAAGCTGGTTTTTTGAAAAAATAAACAAAATTGACAAACCATTAGCAAGACTCATTAAGAAACAAAGGGAGAAGAACCAAATTAACAAAATTAGAAACGAAAATGGAGAGATCACAACAGACAACACCGAAATACAAAGGATCATAAGAGACTACTACCAGCAGCTCTATGCCAATAAAATGGACAACTTGGAAGAAATGGACAAGTTCTTAGAGAAGTATAACTTTCCAAAACTGAACCAGGAAGAAATAGAAGATCTTAACAAACCCATCACAAGCAAGGAAATCGAAACTGTAATCAGAAATCTTCCAGCAAACAAAAGCCCAGGACCAGATGGCTTCACAGCTGAATTCTACCAAAAATTTAGAGAAGAGCTAACACCTATCTTACTCAAACTCTTCCAGAAAATTGCAGAAGAAGGTAAACTTCCAAACTCATTCTATGAGGCCACCATCACCCTAATTCCAAAACCAGACAAAGATGCCACAAAAAAAGAAAACTACAGGCCAATATCACTGATGAACATAGATGCAAAACTCCTTAACAAAATTCTAGCAAACAGAATCCAACAACATATTAAAAAAATCATACATCATGACCAAGTGGGCTTTATCCCAGGAATGCAAGGATTCTTTAATATCCGCAAATCAATCAATGTAATACACCACATTAACAAATTGAAAGATAAAAACCATATGATTATCTCAATAGATGCAGAAAAAGCCTTTGACAAAATTCAACATCCATTTATGATTAAAACTCTCCAGAAAGCAGGAATAGAAGGAACATACCTCAACATAATAAAAGCTATATATGACAAACCCACAGCAAGCATCACCCTCAATGGTGAAAAATTGAAAGCATTTCCCCTGAAATCAGGAACAAGACAAGGGTGCCCACTCTCACCACTACTATTCAACATAGTTTTGGAAGTTTGGGCCACAGCAATCAGAGCAGAAAAAGAAGTAAAAGGAATCCAGATAGGAAAAGAAGAAGTGAAACTCTCGCTGTTTGCAGATGACATGATCCTCTACATAGAAAATCCTAAAGACTCTACCAGAAAATTACTAGAGCTAATCAACGAATACAGTAAAGTTGCAGGATATAAAATTAACACACAGAAATCTCTTGCATTCCTATACACTAACAATGAGAAAACAGAAAGAGAAATTAAGGAAACAATACCATTCACCATTGCAACAAAAAGAATAAAATACTTAGGAGTATATCTACCTAAAGAAACAAAAGACCTATACATAGAAAACTATAAAACACTGATGAAAGAAATCAAAGAGGACACAAACAGATGGAGAAATATACCGTGTTCATGGATTGGAAGAATCAATATTGTCAAAATGGCTATACTACCCAAAGCAATCTACAGATTCAATGCAATCCCTATCAAACTACCAACGGTATTTTTCACAGAACTAGAACGAATAATTTCACAATTTGTATGGAAATACAAAAAACCTCGAATAGCCAAAGTAACCTTGAGAAAGAAGAATGGAACTGGAGGAATCAACCTGCCTGACTTCAGACTATACTACAAAGCCACAGTCATCAAGACAGTATGGTATTGGCACAAAGACAGAAATTTAGATCAATGGAACAGAATAGAAAGCCCAGAGATAAATCCACGAACCTATGGTCACCTTATCTTCGACAAAGGAGGCAAGGATATACAATGGAAAAAAGACAACCTCTTTAACAAGTGGTGCTGGGAAAACTGGTCAACCACCTGTAAAAGAATGAAACTAGAACACTTTCTAACACCATACACAAAAATAAACTCAAAATGGATTAAAGATCTAAATGTAAGACCAGAAACTATAAAACTCCTAGAGGAGAACATAGGCAAAACACTCTCCGACATAAATCACAGCAGGATCCTCTATGACCCACATCCCAGAATTTTAGAAACAAAAGCAAAAATAAACAAATGGGACCTAATGAAACTTAAAAGCTTTTGCACAACAAAGGAAACTATAAGCAAGGTGAAAAGACAGCCCTCAGATTGGGAGAAAATAATAGCAAACGAAGCAACAGACAAAGGATTAATCTCAAAAATATACAAGCAACTCCTCCAGCTCAACTCCAGAAAAATAAATGACCCAATCAAAAAATGGGCCAAAGAACTGAACAGACATTTCTCCAAGGAAGACATACAGATGGCTAACAAACACATGAAAAGATGCTCAACATCACTCATTATCAGAGAAATGCAAATCAAAACCACAATGAGGTACCATTACACACCAGTCAGGATGGCTGCTATCCACAAGTCTACAAGCAATAAATGCTGGAGAGGGTGTGGAGAGAAGGGAACCCTCTTACACTGTTGGTGGGAATGCAAATTAGTACAGCCACTATGGAAAACAGTGTGGAGATTTCTTAAAAAGCTGGAAATAGAACTGCCATATGACCCAGCAATCCCACTTCTGGGCATACACACCAAGGAAACCAGATCTGAAAGAGACACG